AGGACTGGGCTAATTTCTAACTCTTCTACCACAAAGGCAAAGACTGTCAAGGACGGCAGCCGTGTAATCCATGCAAAGAGTCCCAATGCCAAGTCAGACGAGCAAGCACAAGAGATTCATGTTTTTCTCTTGGGAACAGAGAAAATGGTTTGGGCTCTGTGGGAATGAGGGGCTGGGGGTTAAGCGCTGGGGAAGAGGAAGCAAACTCATTAGCACAGACAAGGCAGCCGAGCCATTGGAAGGGAATGTTGAAGCTTGGGAACCACTGCTGCCATGCATCCGTCTATCCATCCATTAAGTCATTCAACAGACCTCCATTTAATGTGTGCCCGGTGAGCACTGTGCTGAGGTCTATTCATACAGAATGAGCATTTGATGAAGCTTAGAGACTCTCCAGTGCTGATGCTCCATAAGTAATGTGGAGGTGGTGCGGTGCGGGGTGGGGGGCAAAAAGATTGGCACACTATCTGGGGGCATGATGGGGATGGATATCTGAGGAAAAGCAATTAAAAAAGAAAGGAAGAGGGCTTCCACTCTGCCCTGCTGGATGGAATAAGTGTTTGGGCAGCATTCTGTCCAGCTGGGGAAAGGCCAAGACTAATTTAACCTTTGGTCAAATGGTTGGGAGTTCGCTAGTTTCCTTTTTCCTCTTACATCACTCCCAGAGATTCAGACAAAAATAACATGGTCCCGATTACATGACATTATGGGCTCTGAAAATACACCAGGGAGGGTAGTGTTGAAACCCCTCAGAGGCAAATTAATCCTAGCAAAGCAACAGCTGTAAGACTGATACAAACAGGAGAAACAACAGCATACTGGTTCCAGGTTTGCTTGAAACTTTACTTTAACCAAGGCGATTTTTTTAAAAGGGTTAAAATCGCTAATTGGGAGCGTTTCTGTTCCTTGAAGATGGTGCTTTATGAAATACTCATCAATTCTCTGCATGCTGCAGTCCACTGTTTGGATTTAATTCCAAATTCTCTTGGATATCCTTACTGTTTAAAGCTGAAATGAACGCAATGGTGAGAAAGAATTGACCTCTGCCGAATCAGAGCTTCGACACCAGGCTGTGTCAGGGAAGTGAAGGTGGGGGAGTCGCCTCTATTCTGGGCTGCGTGCCCAAATCTGGCACGCAGGAGTTGGGCACCTGCCCCTCCTCCCTGAGCTGATCCTGTCCAGAGCAGACACTTGAGTGTTTCCTGAAAGCACAGCCGGCATCCCCTGGAGGACAATCTGCAGAACTTGCATGCACCATTTACACTCAAAAATCAAAATATTTCCTCTCCCAGGGACACAGCAGCCCCCTCCACACCCGCCCACTTTGCAATTGGGCATTGCTTGGAGACCCAGTATGAACCCTAGAATAGAAATCTCACAGCTGGAGAGAACTTAACCCAAAGGAAGGCACTTTTAGGGCAGGAGGAAATTGATCATAATGGTTACAGGGATGGTCTCTGCACTCAGGCTGCCTGAATCCAAAGCCAGCTCAGCCCACTGATGTTTGTGTGACCTTGGGCAAGTGCCCCTCTGTGGCTCGGTACCCTCACATGCGAAATAGAGATAAGACAGCATGCACAGCACAGGGTCGTTGGGAGGAGGAATGATACTCTCTGGAAAGTACACAGGCCTAACGAGTAACAAGAACAAAACAGTGAAACGGCTCTCACTGTCAGAACCACAGTGGTCTTACAGGTCTTCGCAAACTTACTGTAGAAACTGGCTGGTGGCCTCAAGTCATCTTCAGGACTGGGCTAATTTCGAACTCTTCTACCACAAAGGCAAAGACTGTCAAGGACGGCAGCCGTGTAATCCATGCAGAGAGTCCCAATGCCAAGCCAGACGAGCAAGCACAAGAGATTTATGTTTTTCTCTTGGGAACAAAGAAAATGGTTTGGGCTCTGTGGGAATGAGGGGCTGGGGGTTAGGCGCTGGGGAAGAGGAAGCAAACTCATTAGCACAGAGAAGGCAGCCGAGCCATTGGAAGGGAATGTTGAAGCTTGGGAACCACTGCTGCCATGCATCCGTCTATCCATCCATTAAGTCACTCAACAGACCCCCATTTAATCTGTGCCCGGTGAGCACCGTGCTGAGGTCTATTCATACAGAATGAGCATTTGATGAAGCTTACAGACTAGTAGCAGAGACACATTTAAAATTTAATCACATGAACAAATATTTAACTTGTGAAGTTTATTTTAAAAAACAGAGAACTACAAAAGGAAATAATGAGGGGCCACAAAATGATCCCAGGGAACTAAAAAGCTGGAGGTTTGAATCAGTTCCTCGCGGTGCCTCGTGGACAGGTCGACAGCTTCATTTCAGCAACTCTGGTCCTTCTTGACTTCGGCCTTGCAAACTAACACCCCTTCTGCCTCTGCAGCAACTGCCCCCAACCCCGCCCGTGCCCATTTCCACCTTGGGAGTAGGCGTTAGATTAGCACAAAAGTTGTATTAATATTCTCTCCATGCAGAAACAAAGGCATGGGCGGGAGGTGGTTGTCTGTCCACAGTCACACGGCATGTTGAGACCAGAACCAGGACTCCTGAGTCTGGTTAGTTGCTGCTCCCCTACGCCCTATGACTCAGAGCTCACACGCTGACCCCTCTGGCTCTGGCTTCTTCCCCAAGAAATAATGAGAGGAAATGTCTCTTACACAAACATCTCCTAGAGAAATTCCTTTCGGAGCAGCCCCACTGTTAGGGGAAAACTTGGTCCTTTCTTGGAGACCCCTGATGAGTTCTGAGGTCCCTCTAGGATCCCACCGTTTAAAAATAATAACAATAGAATAAAATTAAATTAAAGTGAAAGAAGCCATTACAGGGCATACAGGAGATACCACCTTCAGGAAGGTCACTGCGGTGGCTCAGTGGCTGTGGTTTGTATTCTTCAGGAGGGTCGCTGCTGTGGCTCAGTGGCTGTGGTTTGTATTCTTCAGGAGGGTCGCTGCGGTGGCTCAGTTGCTGTGGTTTGTATTCTTCAGGAGGGTCACTTTGGTGGCCTCAGTTGCTGTGGTTTGTATTCTTCAGGAGGGTCACTTTGGTGGCCTCAGTTGCTGTGGTTTGTATTCTTCAGGAGGGTCACTTTGGTGGCCTCAGTTGCTGTGGTTTGTATTCTTCAGGAGGGTCACTTTGGTGGCCTCAGTTGCTGTGGTTTGTATTCTTCAGGAGGGTCACTGCTGTGGCTCAGTTGCTGTGGTTTGTATTCTTCAGGAGGGTCACTTTGGTGGCCTCAGTTGCTGTGGTTTGTATTCTTCAGGAGGGTCACTTTGGTGGCCTCAGTGGCTGTGGTTTGTATTCTTCAGGAGGGTCACTGTGGTGGCTCAGTTGCTGTGGTTTGTATTCTTCAGGAGGGTCACTTTGGTGGCTCAGTTGCTGTGGTTTGTATTCTTCAGGAGGGTCACTTTGGTGGCTCAGTTGCTGTGGTTTGTATTCTTCAGGAGGGTCGCTGCGGTGGCTCAGTTGCTGTGGTTTGTATTCTTCAGGAGGGTCGCTTTGGTGGCTCAGTGGCTGTGGTTTCTATTCTTCAGGAGGGTTGCTGCGGTGGCTCAGTTGCTGTGGTTTGTATTCTCACTGACCTGCCTTTCAGGTCACTATCAAGGAAGGAATGTATTTTTGGGTGTTTCTGATTTGTAGACCTTTTGCTAGCACAGCACATAACTAATGGGACTTCAACCTGGGTCTTTTGACTCCAAGCCCAGTGCTTTTCAACTCCAGCATGTGCAGTTAGTAACAAATTCTGTTCGGGATGCATGGAGGTTGCAGAAATGGTGAATGTTTCACATGGTGATTTCCCATGGGTGGACGGAGCAAGGCAGATGGTCACTAATTTATTCAACAAACATTCCCTGAATGCCAGCAAGTCAGGTCTTGTGGATTTCCTGGTGAATGAGAGAAATTCAAGTCCCACCCTCATGGACCTAATAATTGTTCAGGAAATTCACATAATAAATGCATCACTACTCAGATAATGATTAATTACAACAGTGCTGTAAGGGTTTATACGCGGGGGTCTGGCCTGTATGAGAGGGAAGGCATAATAAAACCCGTGCTCCATCCTTCTAAATCAGGGCCACGTTCAGTCCTGACAGAACAGCACCATCCAAAGTAGAAACCAGTGACCGGGGAGTCCTCACACCTGCTCATTCCTCATGGCCAGTCTGCATCAGATCCCCTTAGCTTTGCTCCCAAGCACCTTTGGACGTTTGCTCCGCTCATCATCTCCATTGCCCTGACTCCCCCAGCACGTGTCTGGAATGCCCCATTGTAGTACTGTGGTACCCGTTACCAGCGTGGCTGCCACCCACTGTGCACTCTGTTCTACAAAACACAGGGCAGTGATATTCTGCAAGGAAAACCTTCACCCTCACCCTCTACTCCCCTAACCTTTGACATCTTCACCCCCATCCCACACCTAAAACCTCCATGTCTTCTCTTCGCTCTTAGAATCAAGGCGAAGTTCTAGAGAACGGCTGCAAAATCCTGGGCATCCCGCCCTTTCCTCTCTGACTCTGAACACAGCGTGCCCTGCGCTCTGTTCCAGTCACCCCGCCATCTTTCCAGCGCGGAGATATGTTTTGTGGCCCTTCCTTGGTCTGCTCCTGTGCTTGGGAGGCTCCGATGTGTCCCTGCATGCCTGAAGCAGCTTTCCAAGACCTCGCTGACTAGGTCCAATTCCCTAATTATGGTTCTTTATAACACAAGTATCTGGCATAGTGGGAGCTCATCACAGCCGTATTGTTATGTTTTCCAACTGGCTTCTCTGCTTCCCTCCTCCAGACATAAGCTCCATAAAGACAGGGACATGTTTGTTTTGACACATCTATAACCCCCAACATCTGGCCCAGGGTCTGGTACACAGTAAATAAGGAAAGAAAGACAGAGAACTCCCTGATGAAGTTTGGGCTGAGAGGTGAAAGACAAGAGGCATTCAGTGAGACACAGTCTGGGGAAGCGGGAATGTTCCAGTCATCTCCGTTGCCCTGACTCCCCCAGCACGTGTCTGGAATGCCCCATTGTAGTACTGTGGTACCCGTTACTAGCGTGGCTGCCACCCACTGCACTGCGTTCTACAAAACACAGGGCAGTGATATTCTGCAAGGAAACCTTTACCCTCACCCTCTACTCCCCTAACCTTTGACATCTTCACCTTTATTTACTGTGTCCCAAAGGAAAAGCACGCGCATGGAGAGAACTCACGTGAACACCAACCCTCTCTCATTCTTTAGGGAAAAGAGGCAGCATCAGAGAAAAGCCGAATGAAGGCAGTGCCTTCCATCCTGAACAGGTGAGACGGACGCACTCTCAGTGAATGTGGGGATGGGAGTCCAGGCGAGGGGCTGTTTATAATGAACGCTTTGCGTGGATGGTCCCCACCCCTCCAACCCTCGCTCCCTCCCCAAGCTTCTTCACGACCACTTTCAGGCCCCCCATTCAACTCCCAGCATCCCGATGCTGAGGATGGTATCAACTCCCGATCGTGGACCTGTCCATCATCAAGGAAGAGAGCCCCTCCCTTTGCCCATTCACCAGAAACTATTTGATGTGTCTACTCCAGCACCAGTTTCAATGCCACAGGGCCTTGAATGCTGCACCCAGGGTGTCATCATGAACCAGACTCAGCACTGGGTTAAAAGGATTCTGCCATCTCAGCCCCTCACGTAGCTGGGACACGGTCAGGAAGCGGGCTCACATGTATACGTTGTATGCCATCTATATAGCATATTTTATGTAGCGTTGAAAGGCCAGAGTTAGTTCACAAGGCCAGGGTCATGCCAGTGTTTTCAAGGCTTCTTCGTAGACTAGACTGTGGCATTCTCAGAATAAGATTTAATCTGCTGAGTGGCACATTCCCCTGGGTAACTCAGGAGGAAACTAGTGACAGGCATCTCCCAGAGAACAGAGAACAGATGGCAGGTGAAGCAGACATAGCCACTGCCCGCTGAGGGGGAAGCAGCAGAGGAATAGTCCGGTAGCATCTGCTGCTACCCAAGGAGGCACGGAGGGCAGGACCAGGGCTCTGGTTTGTGGTTAAGTGGGTGAGGGTCCTGAGGCGTGGGGGCTGGGCTTTGGATGTGGGGAGTTGAAAGACGGGCCTGAAAGTGGTCGTGAAGAAGCACAGGGAGGGAGCAAGGGTTGGAGGGGTGGGGACCATCCACGCAAAGACCAATGAGAAGCCTGGAGGGGTGGGGACCATCCACGCTAAGACCAATGAGAAGCCTGGAGGGGTGGGGACCATCCACTCAAAGACCAATGAGAAGCCTTAAAGCCGGACCCTCACTTCTGCTCAAGGGTTGGAGGGGTGGGGACCATCCACGCAAAGACCAATGAGAAGCCTCAAAACCAGACCCTCACTTCTGCTCAAGGGTTGGAGGGGTGGGGACAATCCACGCAAAGACCAATGAGAAGCCTGGAGGGGCGGGGACCATCCACGCAAAGACCAATGAGAAGCCTCAAAGCCGGACCCTCACTTCTGCTCAAGGGTTGGAGGGGTGGGGACCATCCACGCAAAGACCAATGAGAAGCCTCAAAGCCGGACCCTCACTTCTGCTCAAGGGTTGGAGGGGTGGGGACAATCCACGCAAAGACCAATGAGAAGCCTGGAGGGGCGGGGACCATCCACGCAAAGACCAATGAGAAGCCTCAAAGCCGGACCCTCACTTCTGCTCAAGGGTTGGAGGGGTGGGGACCATCCACGCAAAGACCAATGAGAAGCCTCAAAACCAGACCCTCACTTCTGCTCAAGGGTTGGAGGGGTGGGGACAATCCACGCAAAGACCAATGAGAAGCCTGGAGGGGCGGGGACCATCCACGCAAAGACCAATGAGAAGCCTCAAAGCCGGACCCTCACTTCTGCTCAAGGGTTGGAGGGGTGGGGACAATCCACGCAAAGACCAATGAGAAGCCTGGAGGGGTGGGGACCATCCACGCAAAGACCAATGAGAAGCCTCAAAGCCCGACCCTCACTTCTGCCCACTGGGTACAGTTTGGGATGTTGCCTCGAACCTTCAGGGAAACAGCTGCTTGTAACTCATCTGCAGGCAGCATGTGAACTGTCCGTGGGAAGCAGACATGGTGACCGGGAGGTATTGCAGCTACCAGCAGATTTCCAAGGACCCCCGATTCCCCAGTAGAATCACTTTGGGTTCCTTCCTGCAACCATTATGGAGGGTGAAGACTGCGGACCAGCAACGGGGCCCAGAGGCTGAGCAGACAGTACAGCCCCTTCCTTCGAGATTCCCCTTTCCTTGGCCGGTTCTAAGGGAGAATCGCTGAGCCACAGAAAGGAGGGACCTGTTACAGGTTACAGGTTCTTTTTTTTTGAGACGGAGTTTCGCTCTTGATCTCGGCTCACCGCAACCTCCGCCTCCTGGGTTCAGGCAATTCTCCTGCCTCAGCCTCCTGAGTAGCTGGGATTACAGGCGTGAGCCACCATGCCCAGCTAATTTTTTGTATTTTTAGTAGAGACGGGGTTTCACCATGTTGACCAGGATGGTCTCGATCTCTTGACCTCGTGATCCACCCGCCTCGGCCTCCCAAAGTGCTGGGATTACAGGCTTGAGCCACCGTGCATGGCCTAGGTTACAGGTTCTAAGGCCATGTAGCAGAAGGAAATTTTGGGTTCATAATGTAGCAAAATGACCAGGTGGCTCAAACGGTGTAACTGGGGGAATTGCAGAGTGGGGCCCCAGAGGTGCGGAGATCGATCAGGTGGCTGTTTTAGTCCCTGCTCAATCCACTGGAGTCCATTCAAGGGTGATGAGAAGCCATCAGCAGGCTGTAAGCAGTGAAAGCCACAATCTGATCTGCATTTTCCGATCATCTCGGCTGTGACTGAAGACTGGATTATAGTGAGCACGAACTGGTCAGCAGGAAGCTGCCACTGTACCCAGGTGAGAGGAGATGATGCCTGGACTGGGAGGTGGCAGAGGCACGTGGAGAGAGGAAGTCGCCTCCTCTTCCATCACCCAGCAGTGATAAATCATCACAGTGGCTGGGAGAAGCAGGTTTCTGACTTACACAAACTGGATAGTGGGTGGCACCATTATCTGGGCTCTGGGACACTGGAGGAGGATCAGATTCAGGGCGAGGGGGAGCTGTCAGGTCCTATACTCTTTGAAGGAAACCATGGATATGGCTATTCCTCAGGAGAATCCCACAAGCAGCTTCCTGGTGGCAGCTGTCCCCGTTGACCTTAGTGACTTCCTTCCTCTGCACGGGTTGGTGTGGAAGTGGGTGCCCGTGGGACCTGGGGCTGCTCTTTTGCTGGTGAAAGGCCTGGTTCTCACTTCCTCCTCGGCAGGCCCTCTGAAGTGGCAAGTTTGGGAATGTGGCATAATGGCCTTTCTTCGTCCGTCCCGTATTTCTCTTTGCCTGTGGATCAACCTCCCCAACAGGATGGTGATCACATCAGTTTCAGCAGAATAAATTTGCCAAGTACTTGGCTTGGGGGTCGGCGCTGTGCTTAGTTCTCTAGCCTTATTCAAAAGCCAAGGGAAGACCGAGTCCTCCTTCCTTAAAAAGTTTAGATCTCTGTGACCTCAGGTACATTCTGGGGATGGGCCTTCTGGTCAGTATGATAAAGAACAGGATAAACAGTTACGGACATTATATTAAGAATGTCTAATGAATGCCAAAGAAGGGCCAACTTATTTGTGTTTTTTTTTTTTGACAGAGTTTCGCTCTTGTTACCCAGACTGGAGTGCAATGGCTCGATCTCAGCTCACCGCAACCTTTGCCCCCTGCTCAGCCTCCTGAGTAGCTGGGACTACAGGCACACACCACTACGCCCAGCTAATTTTTTTTGTATTTTTAGTACAGACGGGGTTTCGCCATGTTGGCCAGGATGGTCTCAATCTCTTGACTTCGTGATCCACCCGCCTCGGCCTCCCAAAGTGCTGGGATTACAGGTTTAAGCCACCGCGCCCGGCCTTTTTTTTTTTTTTTTTTTTTGAGATGGAGTCTCACTGTGTCACCCAGGGTGGAGTGCAGTGCTGTGATCTCGGCTCACTGCAACCTCCACCTCCCGGGTTCAAGCAATTCTCTTGTCTCAGCCTCACAAGGAGCTGGGATGACAGGCACGCGCCACCACGCCCAGCTATTTTTTGTGTTTTTATAAGACATGGGGTTTCACCATGTTGACCAGGATGGTCTCCATCTCTCAACCTCATGATCCACCCGCCTCGGCCTCCCAAAGTGCTGGGATTACGGGCGTGAGCCACCGCACCCAACCTGTTGTGCTTTTTGGACTCAGAGTCCAAGCACCTTGTCTGTTGCTGTTTCCCATTTCCACAGGCCGCGTCCACCTTCTCTCCGAGGCCTCCCCGTTCCACTCTAACAGCTTCACACCCATGTCCTTCCTCCGTCTTTCCTTGGCATCTTTCAGGTTTCAGGTCTCAGTGGCTGCCTCCCTGACTTCCAGATCTATCCTTCGCTGCCCAGTCCTCCCCTCCCCTCCCCTCCCCTCCATGCTTTCCTCCTCCCCTGTCACCATTTGCTGTCTATCACCCTCCTTTCTGGCTCGCTGATGCTGGAAACATTTCAGGAATTTTTAATTGAAAATACCATGAGAACTGTTATCACCTCAGTTTCACCAGGGAGAGAACCGCGGCTCAGGGATGATGATGGGTCACTCCCGGGGCGGGTGCAGTTTAATATCTCACCCAGGTTGACCGGGCAGCTGGGCTCTGCAAACCTGGGCCCCGGCTGGAATGTGAGAATGAGGTACAGTGTGACAGGAAACAGGGTGTGCTACACAACCAAAAATTCCTATACGGTCTGAGTGGGTGGGAGAGACGTCCAGGAAGACGAATCCGTTAAAAGGAATAAAACAAAGAATTCTACCATTGCCCCCCTCCAACTGTCCCCCACAAAAATGGCTGTGAGAGGAAGCAGGTGCCACTTGAAACTGGCAGAAGGCTCTGGGGCTCCGTCCTCCCTGCCTGGAGCAGTCGGTGCCCTCCCTCTGTTCTTGCAGCTGTCCCAGCCCCTGACTCTGTGCAGCCTGGGTCAGATGAGCTCAGCCTCCTTTGATCTCCTCCCCTGTGAGGTCACCAGCTCCCTCACCACCACCCCAGGTCTCAGGTCAGCCTTCACATCTGTCAGGGCCTCAAAAACAAGGAGGCCAAGGACGATGAAGGCAACAGCGGCCGCGGCAGGGAATGGGCTGGCCCCGTTCTTACATCACTCTATGCCAGAATCAAAGAATCCTATCTGCAACCCCTGTTGACCAGGGCAAGACAGCCGGAATACTGAGACTGCAGGGAGAGCTGGCGACGCTCTGGCTCCTCACTCCTCCCCGGCATCCTCAGTTAGAGTAGAGGCTGTGGCTCAACAATCCTAGACTCCCAGAACTGGAAGGAACCAGAGAGGGTCTTTCCTCCTCAGGTCCTCAGCCTGTGCCCTGGATTCAGAGGAGGTGTGGACAAGCAAGCCCTCTGACCAACCCCCTTCAGCCACTTTATCTTTCTCCTAGAATGAGTTCTTGTGCAACATGTCGAGAAAGGATTCCACTGCCGAAAAGACAAACGGAGTAAAAATTTGCAATCTATCAATCCAGTCCAAGCCTTTCCCATCTGTGCATATACTTAGGTCCAGAGAAGTGCAGTGACGAGCCAACATAATACAGCAGTGACTGTGTAGCCAGCCCAGCCTTGGGTCTCCTGCCCTCAGCTGATCTCTGCTGTGACTGCAAATCACGGAGGAGGAGCAAGGTCACACAGCCTGGGCAAGGCTGACGGGAGGAAATTTGCTCATGGCCGCCTCCCAGATGGACCCTCTGAGCTGCAGTGACTTGAGGTAGGAATAAAGGGCCAGAAGGCCTATTTCGTTTCCCAGAGGCCTAAAGCTATGACTTTTCAGGTCTAGAGAGTCCGTATCACTTCTGAGATAAAGCATCATTGTCATTTCCCTCTGAGCTGCTGGGATTGACAAAGCCACTTCTACCACCACATAGATTAGCTGCACCTACAAGCTGAGAAACCTTATTCCCAGAGCCAAGTATCCCGGAAATCACTTAAAAACAAAGAAAGAAGGAGAGAGAGGTGGGGGTGGGGAGCGGGAGAAATAAGAAGAGGGAGTGAGGGAGAAGGGAAGGAAAAAAACACATTTGCCTAATGGGCCATATGACCCCTTATTCTTGAAGAATCATCTAAAAAACTGGGGAGGTAACCAGATGCATTTAGCTGGCTCTCACTGGAGGCCGAAGCTCTGCTCTGAGCTCTTGTGGGGTATTTTCATCTGTTAATTTTCTAAAAGGCGATAAAAACAGGGAAAATGAAAACCCAGTGAGAAGACATTCAGCTGAAAGGGTGCTGTGGAAGGAGATGTCAGGGAGGCCCAAACATCTGGGAAGGGAGATGGCAGGACCCAGGGTGTCGGTGAAGACACTGCCAGCGTGTGACCGGAAAGGGCAAGCGCGCCTCCCCAGGGCTGGGGCCGAGCCAGGGCAGCCCTCCTCTCCCGCCCCCAGTCAGTCCTCACCCAGCCAAGCATGAGCAAGTCTGCTAGCAATGGTGTTTTCTTTTTCCTGAAATAAAATATCATCACCTGATCTTAGCTAAGTAACTGTGAACTTGTAAAAGTCTGTTTGTTGTTCCCCAGAGACCCATTCGAGTGGTTTTTCAGATGAATTTGTTCATGCAAACACGTTGCAATGTTTCCCTTCCACAATCCTGTCACAGGTGAGTAAACTAAGGCGCATAAATGGAGGGACATGAGTGGCAGAAACCCCCGCTGGTCCTTCCTTCCAACCTGGGACGTTTGCAGGCCTTTCCCAAATCTAGGACGCTTGCACAACTCCCAGCCTGGGTGTTTCCAGCTCCACCCAGACCGTCAAGCCCAGGTGTCTGGTTTGGCTGGGAAACAGCACCCTGTCGATAACTAGTAAGTACTTTCACAGCTTGTTAGGGGCAAGTACCTTTCAGTCCAGAAAACTAGGAGTTCAGGAGACCGAAACCCACGACTCAGAGTTCTAAGGATTTGCAGGTATTTTGAGACATAATACGTTTGGGATTTAGTTTTCACTCTGCTAACGAATGAAACACGCTGCTGTGGCTCCTTCTCTGCCTCCCTTGAGGTTTGATCTCACTCGAGTATACCCAGAGATGTGTTAATTATGTAATTACTCAACTAATATTAATTATAATGACACGCTCTACAGCATAACACGTTACATAATATCATGCAATATCATATAACCACAATATATAATTATAAATATGTTAATAAATATGTAAATAAGCACAGCTGTCATTAATGACCCTTTTATTTCTGAAGAATCATCTCTAAAATGCAGAGGGAACCAGATACGTTCAGCTGCCTCTCACTGTAGGTCAAAGCTCCATTCTGAGCTCTTGTGGGGTATCTTCATCGGATAATTTTCTGAAAGGCGAGAAAAACAGGGAAGACGAAAACCCGGGAAGAAGACATGAAGCTGAAAGGGTGCTGTGGGAGACAGTGTCAGGGAGGCCCCACATCGGGAGGCAGATGATTAAGTGTTCACCGCAGTGAACATTAAGAAAATATCCAGCACTGGGTGCAAAGCAGGGTTCCTGGTGCTGTAGATACGTGCTGGGGTGGGGAGTCGCCAGGCTGAATGAGACCCTGTAAGACGGTATTGGCTGAGGGGCAAAGCCAGGAGGAAACCATGCACCCACCACTGCCCTCTCCTAATCACTGAGCTGGAACTGCCCCCGGGAGGCTGCTTCCAAGTTCTGGGCCACCAGTGTGATGATGTGAAGGACTCTTGGGGATATATGGTAAAAAGTTTTTAGTGTTGGGAAAAAGGCCATAAGGAAACCGCCCTTCCTCACCTCCACCCCCTCCCTGCCCATTTCTACTCTGTGATAGAAAATAATCCTTTTCCTTTTGGACACAGACAGTCTTAAATATGGCGACTTTCAAACAAATGTGGAGCAGGAAGAGAAAAGGTAAAAAGAACCACGTACATTACAAAGGAGGCCACTTGCTTCTAAGGGATGTGCTGTCCCAGGACAAGGGAGGAGGTAACTGGCTGTCAGGGAGCAGGGAGTCGGGAGTTTCTCGAGGTGGGAGGTTAGGACCAGCCCAGGCTGGAGGCCGACCTGAGGAGGACACTTCAAGACGCTGAGGAGGGAACATCCAGTAGAATGGACGACGGACCGCAGCCCTGGAAACCCAGGGGCTCTGGGGCATCCTGTGTCTGCTTCTAACTTGCCCTTTAGTGCGGGAATAGTGACTTCTCCCTGGCCTCTTCTTCCTTGGTGAAATGTAAAACTTTATTCTTTGGACTGGGCTTCCTGCTCTAAATTCTGAGATCTTTTTTAGACCCTAGCAAGAAAGGATATCAGTGTCCTGGCTTAGGAAAGAGGAGAGACACTGCAAAACTCTGGCTCAGAAACACATTTGGGAAACCAAGAGAGAGCTCATTTGGAAGCAGGAGAAATCGGTTCTGGCTCCACCGTGGCTCTGCACTTGGTCTGGACTCGAGCCTATCAACTCACCCCTTTGAGTCTCTGTTACTCATCTGAAAAATTAGAGTATTGATCTCTAAACATTTTATGGCTATTTTCAACAATTTTTTAAAGCAAGATAAATTTTTTTTTTTTTTTTTTTTTTTACTAATTATCCATATATGACAGAAAAAATAGAACTTCCCTGGTTGAAGTGATGGAGAAGGTTCTGGAATCCTCTCCACTGATAGCGCTGCCCCAACCCAAAGACAACAGCCTAGGTACCTCCAAGCAGTTTGGAAACACAGACCGAACCTGCACGTAACCCTGTGACTTTGGGGAGTCCTTTCATTTTTCTTGGGTCTCCGTTCCTCCATCACACACGGGCATAAGAATTCCTGTTCTAATGAGTGCCTGGTGACTAGGGTGAAAAGGACACACGGTAAGTGAAAGGTAACTTGACACAGACTCTCAAGTGCTGTATCAATGTACACAGTCAATGCAGGCCTGTTTTCAACCCTTTCATCAATCCTGCGGGTCTAGACGCCAAGTCCTCTCAAGAGCAGTCCCAGAGTACGTGGCGATGGAATGAAAAGTTGAAAAATACAAGCAGCACAGCGCTTCTTTGTCCCTTCTGTTCCACCCACAGCATGGGATAAGGCAGACAGCCCCAGAAACCGGAGGCAGCGCCTGCCAGGTCAGGATATGAGGCCTGGCATCATATCCAGCCATGATTAGAGCTACACCAAGATGGAAGGCAGGGCCCTGCTGCCCGCACACTTACCCGTGCAGGGGTCAATGAACAGTGCAGATCAAAGAGACCCTCCTGCAGGAGGAAAAGGCTTATCTGGGCTGGGACAAGTGAGTAAACCTTCTAAAAAGAGGCTGGATACAGGCCCGTCATGGTGGCTCACACCTGTAATCTCAGCACTTTGGGAGGCCAAGGCTGGTGGATCACCTGAGGTTAGGACTTTGAGACCAGCCTGGCCAACAGGGTGAAACCCCATCTCTACTAAAATACAAAAATTGGGCCAGGCACAGTGACCCAAGCCTGTAATCCCAGCACTTTGGGAGGCTGAGGTGGACGAATCACAAGGTCAAGAGATCGAGACCATCCTGGCCAACATGGTAAAACCCCATCTCTACAAAAATTCAAAAATTAGCTGGGCGTGGTGGCATACACCTGTAGTCCCAGCTCCTCGGGAGGCTGCGGCAGGAGCATTGCTTGAACCCAGGAGGCAAAGTCCGCAGTGAGCTGAGATCATGCCACTGCATCCAACCTGGTAACAGAGTGAGACTCAGTCTCAAAAAATATATATAAACAAAAATTAGCTGGGTGTGGTGGCACTTGCCTGTAGTCCCAGCTACTTGGCTGAGGCAAGCGAATTGCTTGAACCCAGGAGTTGGAGGTTGCAGTGAGCTGAGATTGCCCCACTGCACTCCAGCCTGGGCGACAAAAGCGAAACTCTGTCTCAAAAATAAAAGTGAGGGGGTAGCTGTGCCTCACTGTAAAATATTTCCAAGTTCCTTTGATGAGCACTTTTGTTGGAGATTCCTCTGCCCCCTGACCCATATACCCTGGAAACAGTGTCCAACAGAAGAGTTGAGATCCCCCCAGGGTCTGCCTCCTTACTTTCCTGCCCAGGCCCTAGCATTTGCCTTCCTGGTCTGTACCCACTCTGTTCCTTGTGCCACCCCTCATTCATCATGTGTACTGGTAATGACTGAACTCACGCTCCTAAGACTCCCAGGATGGGAGGAGGTGGGTTTTGCTTACCCTGCTCTTCGCTGCCCTCACTCTTTTACTCCTCTTGCTTCAAACAGGCTCCTGCTGGCTTTAATTAAGCCTGTGGAGCCTCCCTCAGGGCTGGCCCTCATGAAATGAGGTGACCCAGCTCACCAGGGCTGCTCCCCAGAGGCCCCTCAGCCCCTCAGGCTTATCACAACAATTTCTGCTCCACATTTTCCACTGAACAGTGCAACCTGAACAGGAAAACATGGTCTGCAAGTGCAGGAGCCAGCCAGGGTCTCAAACAAGAAGGCTCCAGATGCTCTCGTTGCCCAAAGGGCTCAGCTGTTGGATACATTGCCAGTGAGGAACTTAGCTTTTCAATACCAAGGAAAATGGCCCCTGGGCAGAATCATAAAAAGCCAAGTACCACAGTCAGCAGAGCTTTGGGCCGCTGCTTTTTCATGGGTCTTTAGGAACGAATCCTTGGTGTCCAGCTCTACGGGAGTCCCCATCACCTACTCAGTGAAGCCTCTACTTGGAAATCAGGAATTTAAGACCCTCCACAATCTTCCTCCCTCTTCTCTTCCAGGGTTTTAACCTAGAATTCTTGTACAGATCCTCAGGTCTTGCAAAAAGAAGTCGCTGGGGAGTGCGGTTTAGTGGTTCTGTCAGTCAGAACAGGATACATCATGCCGCAGTAACAAATAGCCCCACAATCTAAGTGACTTCACAGGCAAAAGTTTATGTTCCACACATCCTGTTTGTCCCATATGGATGGTGAGGCCACTGTTTCTCACAGTCAGGAACTCCGGCTGACAGAAGCTCCGCCCTTTTGTGACGGGACCATGTGGAATACCCACAGTCTCCTTAGTCATCATAGCAGGCGAGAGACTGGGGGACTGGGCATATGAATGCCACTGCCTCTGCCATGGTATTTAAGGGTACAAACACTGGAGTCAGACACAGTTTCACCACTCACTAGTTGTGGACCTTGGTCAACTTAACCTGATTATCTTTTCATTTTAAAATTAAGGTATAATATACATACCCTAACCCTCTACAGTGCACAGTTTTGTGAGTTTTGACAAACACATACACTGCTATAACTACCACCGCAAATCAGACACAGAAATGTTCTTCCCCTCAATGATCCTCACGCCCTATCATAGTGGACTTCTCCCCACTCTTCAGTTCCTGGCAACCGCTGATTTGTTTTCTGTCCTTAAACCACTGATCTATTTCCATAAACAGAATCATATAATCTGTATCACTGATGTCTGGCTCAGCATCACACACCCGAGAGCCATCCATTTCGTTGTGTTGCTAATGTATTCCTATGCATTGCATTCCTTTGCATGGATGTACCACAATTTGCTTACTCATTCATTACTCGAAGGAAATCCGGTTTTAGTTTTTGCCAATTAATTATAAAACTGCTATAAACATTTGTGTACAAGCTATTGTCTGAACATTATCATTTCACTTGGGTAAGTATCTTGAAGATTTCTGGATAGCATATGTATACGTTTAACATTTTAAGAAACTGCCAAACTCTCTTCCAAAGTGGCTGGACCATTTTACGTTTCTATGAGAAACGTATGAGAATTTCAGTTACTCAGCATCTTTGCCAAAAGTAGTTATTTAGGGTTTGCCATTGTTGTTAGCCTCTCTAATGGTGGGTAATTGTATCACATTGTGGTTTTAACCTCTACTGTTTTTTTAAGTTTCTGTAGCATCTTCTAAATTACCATACCTTCTGAAAATACAGTTTTCTGTTTAACTTCTTATCCTACTCCATTTCCCAAATGATTTATAATGTTGAGCATCTTTTTATGTACTTATTGCCACCTGTATGTCAGGTAAGTAAAATATTTGTCAAATCTTTCCCCAATTTTTTTATTGTTTTCTAAATTATTAACTTTTGAGAGTTCTTTGTGTGGATTTAAGTCCTTTAATCAGATACATGACTTGCAGTATTCTCTCCCAATTCATGACTTGACACAATCTTCTGACAATATCTTTCAAAAAGCAAAATTTTTAAAATTTTGATTAAGTCCAATTTATCAGTTTTTTTCTCTTAACTGGATCATGCTTCTTGGTGTTATATCTAGAAAATTCAAATTAGCAAAGCTTTTCTCCCAGTTTTTCTTCTTAAACTTTTATGGTTTTAGCTGTTACTCTGTCCATTGTCAATTTTGAGTTAATTTTCATGTCACAAGATATGAACGTAACTTCAGTTATTTCATATGGTTATCGGTTTGTACAGTACCATTTATGTGAAACATTCACTTCCCTTTTCCCCTTTAAAAAATCAATTTATGTAAATGTATGGGTCTATTTTATGATATTGGTCTATATGTCTGTTCTTCTGTAAGTAACATACTGTTTTGATTATTGCAGCTTTATGAAATATCTTGAAATCAGCTTAACGTGAGTATTCAACTTTATTTCTCTTTAAAAAACTGTTTCAGCTATTCTAGTTCCTTTGCCTTTCCATAAAAAATGAATAAACTTGTTTATTTCCACACACACACAAATTCACTGATACAGATTTTGATGAAAATGACATTAAGCTTATAGATCTATCTGGAGTCAATGAATATCTTAACAATAGTGAGTTTTCTAATCCATGGACATGGTTTATCTCTCCATTTATCTAGGTATTCTTTGATTTCTTGTATCAGCGTTTTGTAGTTTTTAGTGTGCTTCATAGCTTTTTGTGTGCTTGTGTATACAGATATTACACACATTTTGTAAGATTTACATTTATATACTGTATGTATTTTAGTGATATTACACACTCAGTTATTAGTCTACTGGTTTTTAACAGTTTCTGTAGCATCTTCTCCATTACCTTCTGAGAACAGTTTTCTGTTTAACTTCTTATCCTATTGCATCTCATTGCATCTCTGGTAGAATTTGAATGACAGTGTTCAAAGCAGACATATCTACCCTGTTTTTAATCTTAGGGGAAAAGTATTCAGTCTTTCTCCCTTAAGTAACATGTTAGCTGTTGGTTTTCCATAGATGGGTTTTATGAGGAGGAGGACATCACCTTCCATTCTAGTTTAACGGTAGTTTTTATCATAAATTGATGTATATGTAAATTTTTTGTGTCTATGGAGATGATTATATAGTATTCATTTTTCACTCTGTTAACAGAATTAATTACATTGATTTTTGGATTACCTTGCATTCCTCAAATAAACCTCAGTTTTAAAATATTAAGGTTTTTCCATCCATGTTAATGAGAGTATTGGTCTGTAGTTTTGTGATGTCATTTTTTAGTTTTCTTATCAGAGTAATCTTGGTACCATAGATTGAATTGGAAAATGCTCCCTTCTCTTCAAATTCCTCAAAAAAATTACGTAGAACTTGTATCATTTTTTTCTTAAATGTTTAGTAGAATTCCACAGTAAATCCATCTGGACTTTAAGGTGTTTGTTTTTGTGGTAGGAAGGTTTAAGACTACAAATTCCATTTATTTCACTTACGCAGATTTTCAAGTTTTCTATTTCTTATTGAGTAAGCTTTGGTTATTGTGTTCTTCAAGGATTTTTTCCATTTTATCAACATTGTCAAATACATTAGCTTAATTTTGTTCAAAATATTTTAATTATTACTTAATGTCATTAAACCTTGAAGTTATGATGCCATATTTATTCCTGGTAATATTGTGTTATCATTTTTTTCTTTTAATTAGTCTGGGTAAAGGTTTGTTACTTTCACTGAACACTTCAAAGAACCAACTTTTGTTTCATTGATTTCCTCTATGTATTTTCTTTATTTCATTGATTTCTGCTCTTATCATTATTATTGTTTGTTCTTCTTTTCCCTAGTTTTCTAATATGGAAGCTTAAACCATTTATTTGAGGTCTTTGTTTCTACTATATGAATAATAGCTTATAATATTGGCATACAGGCCGGGCACGGTGGCTCAAGCCTGTAATCCCAGCACTTTGGGAGGCCGAGGCAGGTGGATCACGAGGTCAAGAGATCGAGACCATCCTGGTCAACATGATGAAACCCCGTCTCTACTAAAAATACAAAAATTAGCTGGGCATGGTGGCGCGTGCCTGTAATCCCAGCTACTCAGGAGGCCGAGGCAGGAGAATTGCCTGAACCCAGGAGGCGGAGGTTGCGGTGAGCCGGGATCGCGCCATTGCACTCCAGCCTGGGTGACAAGAGCGAAACTCCGTCTCAAAAAAAAAAAAAAAATTGGCTTACAAACTTCCCTCTAAGCACCAATTTAACTGTATCCCACAAATTTTGATATGCTCTGTTTCCATTTTCATACAGTTGAAATTCTAATTTCTGTTTTAATTCCTTTTTTCATCTATGGACCCATGGATAATTCAGAAGTGTGTTATAGTTTCCAAATAGTACGGGACTGTTTTCAGGTATTTATTGTTTCTCATTAATTTCATTGGGGTGTGAGAACAAACTTTGTAGAATTATAATCCTTTTAAATGTACCGCAATTTGTTTAATGGGCCAGAATGTGGTCTCTCTCGGTACATGTTCCACGTGCACTTAGAAGAATGTATTTTCTGCTGCTGTCGGACTACTGTAGTGACATGTGAGCAGGCAGGCACCTACAATGAGCCTAAGCCTGTGAAAGTATCAAGCAATGGGAGAAAGGAAGACTTTTCCTAACTCTAAGTATAACTCATGAATGTCAGAGTCTCTGTTATAATTCAGAAAAACAAGAATTTTGTTTTTGTTTTGTTTTTTCTATTTTTTTTTTTTTTTGAGACTGAGTTTCGCTCTTGTTACCCAGGCTGGAGTGCAATGGCGCGACCTCAGCTCACCACAACCTCCGCCTCCTGGGTTCAGGCAATTCTCCTGCCTCAGCCTCCCGAGTAGCTGGGATTACAGGCACGCGCCACCATGCCCAGCTAATTTTTTGTATTTTTAGTAGAGACAAGGTTTCACCATGTTGACCAGGATGGTCTCGATCTCTTGACCTTGTGATCCACCTGCTTCGCGCTCCCAAAGTGCTGGGATTATAGGCGTGAGCCATGGCGCCCAGCCTTTTGTTTTTGTTTTCTTAAGAAAGGCATAGAAGACTTGGAATTGTAGCTATGATAGATTGAGCATTCCTAGATATCTCATTTAATCCCCATAAGCCTTTCAAGGATACAAATTTCTCTCATGATTTTATTGATGAGGATATTCAGACTTGTAGAAATTAAATCATGTTTCCAAGTTCACAGAAAGTGGCAGGAGAGAAATTTGAACTTAGGACCAAGAAAAGCTGTGCTCCTAAATACAGTGCTAGAGTACTTGGGGCACAGGAAAAGTACAGAACCGTGAGTCCTAAGTACATTCTTGGGCAAGTCACCGCACGCTCCCTGATATGTACAATGAGAACGACGCTCCTCCTAACTCTTAGGATTACAGTGGGGCTCAAATAATATGAGTTATAAGAAAGTGATTTGAGAGCTGTAAAGCTAATTACACAGTCACTGTCATCTCCCCTCCTAACAACAGTCTCGGAGAAGGACATACGATGAAGGAAGTAGGGCTGGATGTGAACACACAAATATATTGGTTCTCAACTCTGCAAAGTTGAAGGCTAGGGAAAAACAGTCTCTAAAATCATGAAATGTGTGAATCAAAAATGCTAAAACTAAGAGTATCTTTTGAAGCTTGAAAGACACAAATGTGTGCAAGTAAAACAAACTGTTACTTTCCATAGATGATAAAAATGTATGTAATATATTACCCCAGAGGTATAGAGTCCTTGCTGGAAACACAAGCGAGTTCAAAAAATTTAGATCAATTTACATGTAATACTTAAATAATTATTAGGAGATGCTATGATTCTCTGATACAAAACCTTATGATTTCAAGATTAGAATCAAATAAACCACCGGCCCTTTCCCAAAAAATGCCTTCTTAATATCTTTGCTAGAAATAGGAATCTGGGCTGCATGGGTGGGCTTACTCTGGAAGGGTTGGATTAGGCCTGAGTGAAGCCACCAGGGCACAGTAGGTCCGAGAAAAGCGCATTTGCAAAGGCTATATTGACTGTCAGCATCTGTCATAGACACCCCAGGACAACATTAACGATAAAAATTTGAATTTTAATTATGATCAGAAGAGAAGAGTAAGAGGTAGGACCACTATACTCTCCACACTAAGTGGGATCTGGTAGAAGACCCAGTTTCCCAAAGAATCATCTGTGGGTAAATCATTGGTCTCATATTACACTCCTCTGTGGCCACCCACTTATGAGGCCACACTGGAGACCGTCACCTCCCAGAACTGCTCCACGTCCCACTTACGAGGCCACACTGGAGACCGTCACCTCCCAGAACTGCTCCACGTCCCACTTACGAGGCCACACTGGAGACCGTCACCTCCCAGAACTGCTCCACCACCCACTTAGGAGGCCACACTGGAGACCGTCACCTCCCAGAACTGCTCCACCACCCACTTAGGAGGCCACACTGGAGACCGTCACCTCCCAGAACTGCTCCACCTCCCACTTAGGAGGCCACACTGGAGACCGTCACCTCCCAGAACTGCTCCACCACCCACTTAGGAGGCCACACTGGAGACCGTCACCTCCCAGAACTGCTCCACCACCCACTTAGGAGGCCACACTGGAGACCGTCACCTCCCAGAACTGCTCCACCTCCCACTTAGGAGGCCACACTGGAGACCGTCACCTCCCAGAACTGCTCCACCTCCCACTTAGGAGGCCACACTGGAGACCGTCACCTCCCAGAACTGCTCCACCACCCACTTAGGAGGCCACACTGGAGACCGTCACCTCCCAGAACTGCTCCACCACCCACTTAGGAGGCCACACTGGAGACCGTCACCTCCCAGAACTGCTCCACCACCCACTTAGGAGGCCACACTGGAGACCGTCACCTCCCAGAACTGCTCCACCACCCACTTAGGAGGCCACACTGGAGACCGTCACCTCCCAGAACTGCTCCACCACCCACTTAGGAGGCCACACTGGAGACCGTCACCTCCCAGAACTGCTCCACCTCCCACTTAGGAGGCCACACTGGAGACCGTCACCTCCCAGAACTGCTCCACCTCCCACTTAGGAGGCCACACTGGAGACCGTCACCTCCCAGAACTGCTCCACCTCCCACTTACGAGGCCACACTGGAGACCGTCACCTCCCAGAACTGCTCCACGTCCCACTTACGAGGCCACACTGGAGACCGTCACCTCCCAGAACTGCTCCACCTCCCACTTACGAGGCCACACTGGAGACCGTCACCTCCCAGAACTGCTCCACGTCCCACTTACGAGGCCACACTGGAGACCGTCACCTCCCAGAACTGCTCCACCTCTAAAGTCTCGAACCCATGTATCTCGGTGTCTGAACACCACATGCTCACTTTGGACCCTCAGTCCCTCACCTTCTTCCTGACGTCAATTTCCTGACTCCTCCATTTCTCCCTGTCTATCAGTCTCCTCCTGGCTCTGCTTCTTCCTCTCTCAGTCTAGATTCTTCTAACCAGCAATTTCAACATTTTTTTTCCTCTTCCTTATGTACTCCTTCCTGAAAACTTCCAACTTTGGGTTACCCCAACTGGCCTGGGTCCCCATTCCTGAACCTGTGTTTCTCAGTGATGCCAGAAAAAATTCCATTACCTGGGATGGAAATCACTCCTCACTGGCTGCCTCTAAGTAGCACGAGTCTTCCATCGTGCTCAGCAAACCTTCTCATCTCCCAGGCAAGGCTCTCTCCCATTCCCACAGCAAGCACTGAACGTCTTCACTGCTCTCCTCCAACCTTACCACTCCTGCTTGGTGAATGACCTTGACCTACTCTCAGGTAGGCTCTCTTGACTACCACCTAGAAGCCGTCTGCATCCAACACCACCTTCACCTCCTCCTTGTTGGTCTCGAAGGAGGCAATGTTCCTCTGACAGCCCAGGCTAATTCCTCTGCCTGAGTCCCACACCACAAACCCTCCTGTTTTCTCCAGGTCCGTGCTCCACTAATGAGTCCCCATTTTTTCTTTCCTGTCTCCTATTTTTTCAACCTCGTCTCCTCACTGTCTCCATCCTCTTACCCCATAAACGACCTTCTATTTTAAAATTAAACAGGTAAGCCTCTCTTCGTTCGCAGATAGCGTTCAACGACTGGGGTAATTCACATCTCTTCACAGCACACGTTTCCGCTCTGGTTCGCCACACTCGCTGTGTCTGCATTTTAACCTTTTCACTTCTCAGTACTGTGATGACATGGAAAGATGATTGTTTGGGGAGTCACAGGATCTGGTCTCTTGTATCACTGAGGCTAGTCCACAGTTAGGGGACCTTAAGAAGTCATCTCAGAACCTGGTCTCCTGCGTTCTCACCCAGGAAATCGAGCATTTACTTTACACTAGGCGTTGATCGCAGGGCTTTGATACATTTCAATTCATGGAATCCTCCCAACAAGTCTACGTGGAAGGCACTTATTATCCCCATCTTACTCTGAGGCACAAAGAGGTTGAATAACTTGTCCGAGGTCACACAGCTAGTAAGTGCAGAAACATAGTTTAAATCCATGAACCTAGCTCCTCCAGCATTCATGCAATTTGTGTGTGTGTGTGTGTGTGTGTGTGTGTGTGTGTGTGTGTGTGTGTTGGGGAAGGGGGTAAGGTCTTGCTCTGTCACCCAGGCTGGAGTACCTCGGTGGTGTCATGGCTCACTGCAGCCTCAACCTCCCAGGCTCAAGTGATCCTCCCACCTCAGCCTCCTGTGTAGCTGGGACTACAGGTGCACACCATCACACCCAGCTGATTTTATATACTTTCTGTAGAGATTGGGTTTTGCCATATTGCCTAGGCTGGTCTTGATCTTATAGGCTCAAGTCAAGATCCTCCTGCTTTGGCTTCCCAGGGTACTGGGATTACAGGCATGAGCCACCTCCCCCTGTCTATTCATGCTCTTAACCTCTCTCTCCTCGATGGCCACTGTCCACCTCCTTTTCTGCTCTCCACAATTCCAGACTGAATCCCGGGAAGTACCACCTCAGCTGGCATTCAAGCTTCCTGCTGCTTCACTGCAAACCAGTGGACTTAGTTACTCTTCTCTTGAGGCTCCTCACTCCAGGTAAGACGCTCCTGGGAAGGTATTATCAGTTTTGAAGCTCTGCTCTTTCAGCTAAATAGAGACCCACATTCTCTCTCATGAGAATCCTGAAGGTCAAGGACTGGACTGCAATGAGGAGGAACTGAGCTAAGTCATCATCAAGCGGGTGAGAGCTCTGCAGCAGGGCTCAGTGACTTAGAGCAACTATTTAATCCCTAATCCCCAAGTAACAAAGATAATCTACTTGCCCTGCCTGTCTCTTAGGGCTGGGAGAAAATCGAGGAGGAACAGACAGAAGAGCACAGGGAAGCAACAGACACCAGTATTCGTTGTTGTCTTTATAAAGTTCTCTCTCTTCTTTCTTGATCCTGAGTGGAAAACATTTTGGAAACGCACCACCAACAGGGTTTTCATACAATTCATGCCTAGAATGTTTCAAAACAAAGTTCGCAGTCTTCAGGCCTCATGCTGCCTGAAGGCAGAGGGATCAACCGGATGACCTTTTGGGGTCCTTTGCAGTATGAAGCCCCTCTGAACTCGAGGAGCAAGGGCTGGGGAACAGGACAGTGTGAAGGAAATCTTGTTCACACCATCTGGTCTGGGGACAGTCTGCTAAAAGGTGAGGCCACACTGGAGAAGTCAGGAAATGGCTGGAAGTTTTCTTCGTTTCCATCCATTTTGTATCCTGGCTCCATCTGTTGGGGGAGCAGGAGCTCAGATTTCACAAACAGGGGCTGGGGAGGCAGGAAGCTCACTGGCTGTGCGCCCCGTTTTCCTCCCTCGCTTGCCCACTTCTTACAAATCTCTTTCATCATTTTCCTTTCTGGTTTCTTACCCCCTTGCCTCTGGCACTGTAAAATCTTGGCAGGCCCTAGAGCCAAGTTTATTTGGGTTGAATAAACAGTGAGATGAGGTTTTATTTTCTTGTTTCTGCATTGAATTGGAGGAAGGGGAGCTACAATGTGAAGCTGACACTTGGGAAGCCATTACATAATTCTGCTATTCCTCCAGGAAGAGTTCTTATTAATAACCCTTATTGATAATAAATCAAGGTGTTGAGGTAAACCAGAAGGTCGCTTCATACAAGAAAATAGAGTTTCCAAGCACAGTGGCTCACACCTGTAATTCCAACACTTTGCGAGGCCAAGGTGGAAGGATCGCCTGAGCTCAGAAGTTAAAGACTACCCTGGGCAACACAGGAGACCCCATCTCTACAAAAAAAATTTTAAAATTAGCCAGGCATGGTGGCGCCTGCCTGTAGTCCCAGCTCCTTGGGTAACTGAGGTGGGAAAACCACCTGGAGAACCACCAGGAGGGTGAGGCTGCAGAGAGCCATGATTCAGCCACAGCACTCCAACCTGGGCAAAAAACAAAGAAACCAAAAATAAAGGTAGGCAGGCAAATGGAATGAAGTGAGCCCAAGGTCCGAATTTGGAGCTGAACTCTTCCGTCCTTTTGCCCGGCCAGTTATTTGGAGCAGCCACCCTGGACTACCTCCTTTGTCCCTTTTTCTGAACAGAAAAATGGCCTTTGAAACGGATCACTCTGACCTGCTTGATCATTGCAGCTATGAGAGAACACGCTTATTTCTTTCAAAGCGCTCACTGAAGAAGTGACTTGGGGGTGCCTCTGAGTACCTAACTGCTTATTAGTCATATGTGGTCAAAAGTCATTGTTTAAATAATTTTACAACTAACAGTCATTATTCATCAAAGACTCAACGGGCTAAGGATACATCCAGCGATGATCCCACCTGCAGGTTTCCCACTGTGTCTTGGGACACGAGAGACTGTTGTGAGTATGTAGATTCTAGGTGGTTTTGTTTCTGTTCGCACATTGGTGATGATGAAATAAAAAGCAAAGAAGTTGGAGGAAGCCTAAAAGAGATGAAGAGATCCTAAAAGAGATCCTAAAAAGAGATCCTAAAAGAGATGAAGAGATCCTAAAAGAGATCCTAAAAAGAGATCCTAAAAGAGATGAAGAGATCCTAAAAGAGATGAAGAGATCCTAAAAGAGATCCTAAAAAGAGATCCTAAAAGAGATGAAGAGATCCTAAAAGAGATCCTAAAAAGAGATCCTAAAAAGGGATCGTAAAAGAGATCCTAAGAGATCCTAAAAAGAGATCCTAAAAGAGATTCTAAAAAGGGATCCTAAAAGAGATCCTAAGAGATCCTAAAAAGAGATCCTAAAAGAGATCCTAGAAGAGATTCTAAAAAGAGATCCTAAAAGAGATTCTAAAAGATCCTAAGAGATTCTAAAAGAGATCCTAAAAGAGATCCTAAAAGAGATTCTAAAAGAGATTCTAAAAAGAGATTCTAAAAAGAGACCCTAAAAGAGATTCTAAAGAGAGATCCTGGCCGGGCGCGGTGGCTCAAGCCTGTAATCCCAGCACTTTGGGAGGCCGAGGCGGGTGGATCACGAGGTCAAGAGATTGAGACCATCCTGGTCAACATGGTGAAACCCCGTCTCTAGTGAAAATACAAAAAATTAGCTGGGCATGGTGGCGCGTGCCTGTAATCCCAGCTACTCGGGAGGCTGAGGCAGGAGAATTGCTTGAACCCAGGAGGCGGAGGTTGCGGTGAGCCGAGATTGCGCCATTGCACTCCAGCCTGGGTAACAAGAGTGAAACTCCGTCTCAAAAAAAAAAAAAAAAAAAAAAGAGAGATCCTAAGAGATCCTAAAAGAGATTCTAAAAGATCCTAAGAGATTCTAAAAGAGATCCTAAAAGAGATTCTAAAAGAGATTCTAAAAAGAGATCCTAAGAGATTCTAAAAAGGGATCCTAAAAGAGATCCTAAAAGAGATGGAGATCTTAAAAGAGATCCTAAGAGATCCTAAAAAGAGATCCTAAAAGAGATGAAGAGATCCTAAAAAGAGATCCTAAAAAGAGATCCTAAGAGATCCTAAAAGAGATGAGGTGTGTGTATGAGGACAGATGTACCAGGTAGTTGCATCGATCTGAGTTACCTACTACTCAGAGAAAAACTTCCAAAACACAGCAGATCACAGATGAGATATCACACAAAACACTAGCGAACACAACATAATCAGCATGCCTCATCCATCCCCGTCCCCTTAATCCCCTGAGCTTCTTCATCTCATGACAGGGAAATCACCCAAGAAACAGAAAATTGGATGAAATACCCAATATAGAGACTTTTCAGACAGGAAAAACGTCTCCAAAATTCTTGCCATACTACCTGAAGAACTTTTGGTAGAACTGAGCTGCTATAAAGTTCACTAGTCCCCATTTTGTCTGCAGGGTAAAGGCTGAGTATCTGTTTTCCGAATGTTTATGTTACATCAGATAACTGACGGTAGACGGAAGGCCTACAAGCCAAAGTGAAGAGTTTTGAGCCATTTTAAAAACTCTAATCCCAGGTAGGAAACTGCCTTTTAAGGGTGAGGGTGGCCTGGTTAAAGTCTTCTTAACCAGAGAGGAAGTGGGAAGGCCAAGGCCAGACTTCTAGTTTGAGTTCTTACAGGCTAACACATCACCAAGTCCCTGGGGCCTCAGCTGATTTCCTCAACAGCAACGAGAGACCAAGGAGGCTTGTGCTTGAGGGTCTGTAGGTCTCCTCCTCTTCTAAAATTCTATGCCTCCAGAAAACCTAGAAGGCCTAGAGATCTTGTTATTTTTGTGTAGGAAAAAACAACGAGAGCAATTGATTGCTATTGTATTGGTTCAATCTCCACAGCTTTTTGAGAGCCTTTCAAAAGTTCTCTCATCTACTTGGCTAAGGAGATAGGCAAATGGCATGCCGCGAGCCTCTGCTCCAATTTAGTCCCATGTGTCCCGGCAGTCTTCTGCAGAGACCTCTATTAATGTCTCCTCCATTTGTCCAATACTAATGATGGTAATGATAATAATGTAATTATTCCAGTTTATTGATGTCAAGTGCATGTTGATTACAAATGGAACAGGAAGTATTTTGTTGCCTCCTGCTTTTCCAAGCTGGTTGTGAAATCAGAGCCCAGCTTTGGAGCAAGCATGAAGCCTGCACCTTTCATAATTGTGATGGGACCCAGATGTGGCTCTGTCCCACGAAGGCAGGTGGTGGAAGCACTAAATGTGTCCCACGCACATATGCTCTGCCCAGGTGGGGTCCACCCCCAGCTCTCTCTCTGTGAGACAATCCTGTTCTGCATTTCCTCCAATTTCCAATTAACTCAGATGATGTAAAAGGTTGAAATACATCTCCCTCCCCCCGGCAGCTTGCACGTAGTAGGTGTTTGGTTTACCTTCATTCATTTATATTCCAGTGAGGGCAGAGCATCCCACGGAAAGCAATCTGAAGGCAGCTGAATATGTGGGACTCTTGGAGTGATACTAGGTGAGGCAAAAATGTATTGATACAAGAATGAGCCATTAGCAGGAAGCCACACTACAGAGAAGGAGGGATTTTTTCAAAGAACCATTGCAGAGTACTGAGGATTGACCCACAGGACGGGTAAAAAGAACAGGAGAGGTCAGGCGCGGTGGCTCAGCCTGTAATCCCAGCACTTTGGGAGGCCGAGGCGGGTGGATCACGAGGTCAAGAGATCGAGACCATCCTGGTCAACATGGCGAAACCCCGTCTCTACTAAAAATACAAAAAATTAGCTGGGCATGGTGGCGCGTGCCTGTAATCCCAGCTACTCGGGAGGCTGAGGCAGGAGAATTGCCTGAACCCAGGAGGCGGAGGTTGCGGTGAGCCGAGATTGCACCATTGCACTCCAGCCTGGGTAACAAGAGCGAAACTCCGTCTCAAAAAAAAAAAAAAAAAAAGGAACAGGAGAGTCAAAGAATAAAGAATACCTCATCCTGGAAGCCGGGAGGTCAGACTATCAGGAAGGGAAAGATATTCCTGTCACCGTGCTCACAGGTAGTTCTCACTATCCAAAGTCCTGCAGTTCCTACTCCCCCATTACATCCCTTTGGGGGTGGGGGTGGGGTGGGGTGGGGTGGGGGAGGGCTGTTTTTTATTTTTCTCACCATTCCCTGTCCCTTTCTCTTTACCCCACAACCCTCCAAAACTATGAAGTACATTTTTGCAATGTTAAGGTCATTGTTTAAAAAAAATATTTTTGTTTCCTCATCTGAATAGAATAAGAAAAAGTTGTGTTTTTGTGAGGTTGATGGACAGGCAGATCTTCATGACATTTTTATGAGCACACAAGCTTCAGGATGATGGAGACAAGGAGCATCCTTAACATAGGGTAGAAACAAGCACTCCTGCAGAGTAATTAACAAAAAAATGATTTTTAAGCCTATAAAAGTAAGGCATTTAAATAGCCTCTTATGGATCATAGGGGCCCAATTTTTATGTAATTTTAAAGTGGCCTAATTTGAAAACCGTGCTCTGTTGGGATCTGAATTTTTTTAATTGTGATTTTCATTTTTGCTCCAATGTCCTAGGGTATATTAACATTGTATGTGTAAACGGCATATGGTTTTCATTTTTTAATAAAAATCTATGGTGTTTGTATCTGTTTGTTTTAGAGACAGAGTCTTCCTCTGCCACCCAGGCTGAACTACAGTGCTGCAATCAGAGCCTACTACAACCTCCAGCTCCTGGACTAAAGTGATCTTCCTGCCTCAGCCTCCTGAGTAGCTACGACTACAGGTGTGCACCACCAACCTGGTTAATGGCTTCATTTTTGCAGAGACAGGGTTTCAATATGCTGCTCCAGCTGGTCCCGAGCTGCTGGCCTCGAGCAGTCTTCCCGTCTTGGTTTCCCAAAGCACTGAGACTGCAAGCACGAGCCATCATGCCCAGGCTTTAATGTAAAACTGTGTGTTTTGAAGGTTAATTGCAATGTGTAGGTTATTAGCAGGAAATGAAATGATTCATATACAGTAACGGAATATCCTGAACAATTATAGCTGATTTGGGCAAGAGCCAATTAAAAAAAATTTTTAAGCTTAAAAATAAAAAGACAAACTTTTTTTTCCTATTACACAAATACGTATGTTCATTGTACAAAATTTAGAAGATGCAAACTTTAAAAATCCCTAACCTCACCTTGTATAAATGAAAACCATATTAAGTAACATGATGATGCTCTGGAGAATGAAAAGAGCGCTAGGTGATCAGTCTCCCGGACGACAGGCATAAATGGGGCTGTCCTGGGAAAACTGGCAATCTATGTATCCTATTCATTAAATGCCTACTATTCCCCCAAATTAGCTGGGCGTGGTGGCGCGTGCCTGTAATCCCAGCTACTCGGGAGGCTGAGGCAGGAGAATTGCCTGAACCCAGGAGGTGGAGGTTGCGGTGAGCCGAGATCGCGCCACTGCACTCCAGCCTGGGTAACAAGAGCAAAACTCCGTCTCAAAAAAAAAAAATCTCATAAATCGAATATAAATTCAAAAATAGCACATTTACAGCTATTTATCAATAAGCTTTCCTTTACATTTAATGAAACATACTTTTACAATAAGATGAAACTAAATATATGTATATAATCTTCCTCAAATTCCTATTTCCAGTCAACAGTGAAAATAAATGGTTTCCTGTAGAACTGTTGTAAATACTCATTTTTAAAAATGCTGTGATTCTGCCTGGTTCTCAGCCTGCTGTATAATGTGTTTACCAGGATCTCACTGATAGTCTGCCATTCAGGGTGCTGGAGGCCTGGAATTCTCTAGCGAAGGGCTGAGTGTCAATATCTACAGGGGCCTGGCAGGTAACCGGAGGAGGGAGGGGAAATCCAGGGAATTTAAGGTACCATGTAATAGCGACACTCTCACCTTGCAGGAATGAGGGCCCAGGGGAACCAGGTCTTCTGAAAAGCCAGAGACATAGGTTATAATTACGTAAAAATGTTAAATGTCAACTAATCTTTAAAATACACTGTACAATCTACTCCCCACCCAGCAACCCCCAAAAACTGTGGTCCAGGATCAGCCAGTGGGTGGCAGGGGATGACCATTATCCTCTGGTGCCCAGCAAAGGGTAAAACCAGGCCAGCAGACATCAACAGAAATGGAAGGTCATGACACTATTTAACACCTGTGTGGGGAGGTTTGATGGTTGACACTGAGGGTCAACTTCATTGGATGGAAGGATGTAAAGCGTTTTTCCTGGGTGTGTTCGTCAGGAATAGGCCAAAAAGATGCACAAAGGAGTCAACAGCATGTGGGTGCTGCCAAAAGAGATTACCATCTGAGTCCCTGAACTGGGAGAGACAGACCCACCCTCAATCTGGGTGGGCATCACCTAATCAGCTGCCAGTTTGGCTAGAATAAAGCAGGCAGAAGAACACAGAATGAGGACACTTGCCGAGTCTTCTGGCCTCGTCTTTCTCTTGTGCTGGATGCTTCCCGCTCTCAAACATCACATGCCAGGTATTTCAGATCTTGGACTCTCAGACTTACACCGGTGGTTTGCCAGGGGCTCTCGGGCCCCCGGCCACAGACTGAAGGCTGCACTGTCAGTTTCCCTACTTTTGAGTTTCGGGGACTCGGACTAGCTTCCTGGCTCCTCAGCTTGCAGACAGTCGATCGTGGGACTTCACCTTGTGATCGTATGAGTCAATTCTCCTAATAAAGTAATAAACTCCCCTTCATATATGCATCTATCCTATTGGTTCTATCCATTTAGAGAACGCCGACTAGTACAGCAGGGCTCGAGCCTGCGCTGGTACTTAGTACAGGCTCATAGACGGTACATGGAGAATTGAGAGACGGTTAGGGGCAGACTCATGTTTGTGGTTTCCCTGGATTTGGGACTTAAAGAGGAAGGGGACTCAAAATGGTGGTGAGACAAGGGCACTTGCTTTGCTTTCGGAGATGAACGATACTCTAATTCATAGGTGGGTCACTGCAGAAGGGACATCTCTCCTCTGGCAACAGCTTTAAGCAGGGCAGTGGTGTGGGGCAAAGGCAGAATTCGGCCTTTTTTCAGTTAAAGGGGAGGAGGAGGGAGACGATTAATGAATGAGCCTCACTCTTGGAATGAAAGGATGCAGCCTGTGAGACTGAGGGACTGCTGGCACCACCCTAGGGAGACTTCTAGAACCAGTTAAGAAATACTTGGGATGGAGGTGGGGGTGCCGAGAAAGCAGGAAATAAATACCGAGGGAACTTTGTCATCATTTTGGAAGCTTTGTGATTTTTCCATGCTTATTATCCTGTTACCACCTCTGTTCCTGTTACCTTTAAAAAGAAGCAAGCATGTATGTTTATCCTGAAGGCCGTCAAAAGGAAGCCGAGAGCTACGAGGACTCCGGCACCTCTTCCACTCAGCTTGGGAAGTGGCATCAACCAAGAGAGAGTCTGAAGATTGGAGAAGTTTGGGAATGAGTTGGGGGGAAGGGTGAAGAGCTAATCTGGGAGGGAGGGTAGAGCCCCAGCCCTGAGATGGCAGAAGGCAGGGATGATGTTCCCTACAGGAGACCACCACTCCCCTCTCGAGGGGCCAGACAAAATACAGGATGCACAGGTAAGTTTCAATTTCAGACAAACAGCAGCAATTTTTGTTTTAATTATGCTCCACATAATATTGGGATCTACTAAGAAACAATCTGTTGTTCCTCTGAAATTCAAATATAATTAAGCATTCTGTAAGTTTATTTGCTAACTCTGGCGTCCTCATTCCCATTGTTTGCCAGTCCTTCAAGCTCATTGCACCACGGTGTGATCGGGGCTGCATCAGCCCCATTCAGGAGAGGAGGATGGTCCAGAAAGCAGCCAGATGTTTTTGAGATGAATTACTACCAGAGGTCCACAGGCTCCAGGACAGACTCCTCACCTAGGCTAAGAGGTGCTATCTGGGAGAAGAATGCTTCCAACCTTGGAGTCAGGCGCTCATTGACTCAACTCCGAGATCTGTAATCCCCAGCAAGTTGCACGATACCACTGAGACACAGTTTTCTCGTCTGTAAAATGGAGAAAATGATACCTCCTACTTTGAAAATGTTACATGGCCTTCCTGGCACAGTGCCAAGATAAATTCCTCACTAACACGATAGGGATAGTTTCTACTATTCTGTTGTAGGGTACACTTCTCTTTAGAACGTACTCCCTTGGGTTGCTCATCAACAATAATCAAACAGCCCCACTGCCGTCCACTGGACATTCCAGGGCGTGTTTGGAACTAACCTTGTTCCCTTGAAGTTCCTGGAGTTTGTTAGCAGATATAAGTGGTATGGAGTAAGTCCATACCTCTCAAAAAGCACTAAAATGTAGGACCTGCTTGGTCATTTCCCTAAAACAGAGCCAAGAAAGCACCTAACTGCTCACCCACATAGACCAGGGAGAGACTCAAAGCATCACTGAGTCTCATAGTTGTAACACCTCATGTGAAGAAGTGCAGACATTCTTCTGGCTAAACCGAAATCTAAGCTGGGAGGGCAGGTAGCTTGCTTCCTCCCTGCATTCCTCTAATAAACTCAGATTCCCCAAGATTAAGTGTGTTCCCAAAGAATTTCAAGGAACACAAAGGTGAAGCTTGGCATTTGCAAAGGAGAAATTACTTTTGGCTTGTTTTACTAAAATCTGGTTTTGCTTAAATCTGTTCATCTTTATCTGGCCCGCTGTGTTACAAAAACACACAAATTATCAGATTTTTAGCTGCATTTCCTTGGCTCTAATTGTAGTGGGGACCAAGAGAAGCTCATCTGAAGATGGAGGGCAGTCGGCTGCAGGCGGGTGATGATGGGTGTCAGCTGAGATGCTCAGACTTGCGTTCCCGCGCTCCATCCACAGCGTACTGAGGAAACCCAAGCTCCTGCCAGCTCTTCTTCCACTCTCACGGGTTAGGAGAGAGCCGCCAGAGTGATCATCAAAAATGCAGAAAGAACAGAAGCCCAACAATACCAGTACTTTATTTCTCTCTAGAAGACCATGTCACAGAGTAGCCGTGTTGCAGAAAGACACCCCATGAGGCCTCCTCCTGACTGTTCTGCGAGACCGCAGGAAAACCCCCGTTTCATCGCTCATCTGTAAAATGAGACTCCAAGAATCTCTGTTGTGCCCGCTGCAATGATGTGGTGAGAAGCAAATGAGACAATGTATGTGAAATGTTGATGTGCCCCAGAACTCCACCCTCAACATGCTTTTTAAATCTGCAGTCTCTGTACGTCAACTTGTCACCATTATGAATGATAGGCTGCTACATGACTGATTGATCAGTTGTATTTCCCACTGCCTAACGGATTTCCAGTATCTTATGGCCAATAAATTAAAAATGAACCCATTCAGACCTGCCTCTCATGCTCACGATGCATCCAGACTGAGCAAGGATCTTCAACAGTCCCCCCGCACCAACAGCGCTGCATTTCCCACACCAGATTTCTCCAGGCTCTCACAGAACATGGACAATTGTTACCTTAAAAACATCCAGTCTCTTGGATGGTGCAGGGGCATCATCCGTCAGCTCTTCTAAGTGTGCCCACAGTGCATCAGAACACACACCACCCACATGGGGCTCCTTCTCAGCAAGGCTCCTTACGACAACAACCAAACACACCCCAGAATCCTGTGAAAATAATACCTGGACTTGGAGGATAGACCAGAAATTCTGTCTCTTGTTTCATGAAAGAAAAAAGACTCTGGATTTAAGGACAACCAATAAAAAAAAATGACAGGGTGAGGAAGACTGCATATGTTTTCCTACTCTGATATCTTGCATTCCTTGTGATGAGGAACGAACAACCAATGCTGAACACAAAGATCTTGTAGGTGTTTGGATTCTGACTCTCTAGGTGGTATAAGCAGGTGGTATAGCCAGAAAGCCATGCTGTTTGAGAAGAGTATGTAGGATGTACAATGAGGCAAGGATTCTCTTTTATTTATTTTTTTTTGGAGACGGAGTTTCACTCTTGTTACCCAGGCTGGAGTGCAATGGGATGATCTCGGCTCACCGCAACCTCCGCCTCCTGGGTTCAGGCAATTCTCCTGCCTCAGCCTCCTGAGTAGCTGGGATTACAGGCACGCGCCACCGTGCCCAGCTAATTTTTTGTATTTTTAGTAGAGACGGGGTTTCACCATGTTGACCAGGATGGTCTCGATCTCTTGACCTCGTGATCCACCCACCTCGGCCTCCCAAAGTGCTGGGATTACGGGCATGAGCCACCACGCCCAGCCTAAGGATTCTGTTTAATCCCCTGCAGAATTCCCAGTATCGGTAGCAATGCCAAGAACATAGTAGGTGGTGAGAAAATACTTTTGAATGAATCAATGAGGGTAATGTGTTCAAAGTGGACCGCTAGGTTCACGAAACACTGCAGATTTGCTGTTGACAAATGTTACATTCCATCTTGAGGGTTGTAGCCGGGCTGGTGGTATTCTCATGGACTGCCTCACTATCTTGCCCAGTTGGCATATTACTTCTCAAACTCCTACGTGAACTCATAACTATACTGTTGGACAGTTTTCAAGGCTAAAATTCCCCCACTTTAAGCCTTGTAGCTTTCACGTCTTAATGTTTATGTTCTGTGGTTTCTGAGGAGCCATTTCAAAGATGATGGTAACCACGTATTCTCTGCCTCCTCAACAGATTATTAAGAGCCAACAGACAAACTGAATCTTGGCATTTGAATTGACGGCAGGAGAGAAATATTTCCCTAAATGTTTGAATGTTAAATTGTAAGGTAAGTTGCCTTATCTGGAGCCCTTGACAAAAATATGGACTCTGTTATCACTGTCACAGGTAACTGGGTATAAACTGTTGCCTGAAGAAAGACGCAGAGACATAGCAAGGCAGGCAAATACATAGCAAGCATAATGCCACGCTTCCTCCACACCCACAGCAGCCATCACTAATGGATTACAGCACTCTTCTCACTATGCTCAAGCAACTCTTATTAACACCTCCTTTCCAGTAGCCATTACCAATTGATCACAGAGTCGCATGTATGAATCAGTCATTTAACAGATATTTATTTAGTGCTGGCAATATGCCTGGTACTGGGGATTTACAATGAATAAAGTAAGCAAAAATGTCTATCCTCCTAGAGCTTTTATTACTGGAGGGGGCAGGGTCAGTAATGAAGATAAAAAAGCTAAATAGTAGCATCTTAGATGGTAACAAGCGCAGCGGAGAAAAGTAAATCAGGAAAGGGGGACAGAGATTGCTGGGAAGAGAGAGGTCATACTGTTAAATAAGTAGCTAAGTGTCTCACCTTCTTCTGAGTAATGAATCATCCCAGAGTTTAGTGGCTTAAAACCACAACACTGTGATTTCTGTGGGTCGGGAATTAAGGAGCAGCTTAGCTGGATGGTTCTGGGTAAGTTTGCAGTCAAGATGTCAGCTGGGGCTACAGTCATCTGAAGGCCTGAATGCGGCCGAAGAATCAACTTCTAAGACGTCTTACTCTCGTGGTCATTGGGAGGAGACCTCAGCTCGTTATCACATGGGCCTCTCCAAGGAACTGCTTGTATCTCCTCACAAGATAGCAACTGGCTCCCCCCACAGTGGGTGACCCAAGAGGGCAAAGAGGAAGCAGTGGCATATTTTGTGACCTAGCACTGGAAGTCACTTTCTGTCCTATCTGCCACTTCTCACTGGCTACACAAATCAGTCCTGCTCAGGAGGGATACTGTGTCATAGCATGATGCCAGGAGGCAGCTATCACTGAAGACATCTTGGAGATTGGCAGTGACACCAGGGAGGGAGATGAAAGACTGTGTTTGAAGGTAACTGGGGCCGCAACCTCTTAACAGTGAGAATGACAAATGTAAAGACCCTGAAGCCAGTGTGTGCTTGCCTAGCAAATAAGAACCAGCAGAGCAGTAACAGAATACATTTAAACAGGACCTTTCTGATTGCTGCACTGAGAACAAACTGAAAGGGAACAAGAGTAGAAGCAGGAAGACAAATTAAGAAACTATTACAGCCGGGCGTGGTGGCCCAAGCCTGTAATCCCAGCACTTTGGGAGGCCGAGGCGGGTGGATCACGAGGTCAAGAGATCGAGACCATCCTGGTCAACCTGGTGAAACCCCGTCTCTACTAAAAATACAAAAATTAGCTGGGCGTGGTGGCGCATGCCTGTAATCCCAGCTACTTGGGAGGCTGAGGCAGGAGAATCGCCTGAACCCAGGAGGCGGAGGTTGCGGTGAGCCGAGATCGCGCCATTGCACTCCAGCCTGGGTAACAAGAGGGAAGCTCTGCCTCAAAAAAAAAAAAAAGAAAGAAAAAGAAACTATTATAACAATCCAGACAAGACTAGCAGTGAGTGTGGTGAGGGTGAAATAGGCAAGATGGGAGTCACATTAAGCTTTTTTTGCAAGGTGGTGTTGTGTTGCAAACAGGAGCTCAGTTTGAGAGGTGAAGCTTGGGTGCCAGTTGATAATAGAATTTAGAGCTAAGAATAACAGGTTGGAGATAAAAATGCTAGAACATACAGATGTTGAGAACTATGAACTTGAATGAAATCACTGAGGAATTCCAGAAATAGAGCTTTAAAACACCCAACATTGGGATGTTAGGGAGATGAGAAGGTACTGGCTCGGAGACTGAAGCAGAATGGCCAGGAGGGCAGGGAACGTGGTACAGTGCAGCCAGCGAAGAGAGATGTACTGTGAGATAGGAGTCATCAACTTGTCAGCTGTTGTCTCACCAAGGAAGAGAAGAACTGAGAATTCCCCACTGGATCTATCAACCTGGAGGCCATTGATTATTTTGACAATACAATTTTAATGGAGTAATGGGGTGAATGCTTGACTGGAGGAAATTCAAGAGAGATGGGAGAAGGGAAATTGAGGATAGCAAGTATACTCATGCTGTTTGAGAAACAGGAGGAATTAACCAGGAGAAATTAACATGAGGAATTCACCATGTTAACAGGAGGAATTAACAGGAGGAATTAACCATGCTGTTTGAGAAACAGGAGAGAAGTAGCCAGAGAGGGAAACGGCGTCGGGAGAAATGCCTCTTTGCCATCCAGGTTGACATACATATAAGATTGGTGGTACAGAAAGGGGTCAGGGGCACATGCTGTGGCATGCGCTCATTTTTAACACCGGCCTCACATCTTACTACTTGTATGAACCTGGGCAAGTCCCTTAACCTGTCTGCGCTTGGTTTCTTCATCTGCCACGTGGAGATAACGACAGTACCCCTTCGTAAGGTCAAGAGTGGATAAGCTGCCATATGTAGTATGCGTAACAGTTTTTGGAATACGGTGGACACTCAAATAAGTGGTAGTTAAGTTTGTTCATGAGGAAAATGATGATGTGAGAGACCCAGCCCCATTTCTATACTCCCGGAAGCACTTGACACAACGAAGGAGACAAGTCTCCCTGCTAATACGTAAGCTGCTGTCACAGGCATCATCCCTCACACTGGAGGATTTGACATAGAAATGTGCTAGAAACCGAGCCCAGTGAGGACCCACCAAGGGGGATGAGGCCAGATGGCAGGTTTCAGCAGCTCTGCAGGTCCTGCCCCGTGCTGACATCCACAGCGTGTCTGGATCAGGGACTGCTTGAGGGACAATCGTTTGGGGGCAGGACATTTTCTTTGTATCTCCTCGTTTCCTGAGGATCCTCCCTGGAACAAGGGATTTGACTTTCTTCTCTTCTGTCCTAGCTGGCATAGTAGATGCTCACTGGAAGATTCAAAAACAATTCCAGCTTACGGAAAATATCCAGCTGACCGTTTTATCTGATGGCCTTAGAAAGCGTAAATTCCTTAAGTGAAAGGGCACTGAGGCAGAGCAGAGTCAACAATTTTCATCAAAAGGTTTTTTAAACTGCCTGAAGGATTCTTAACATTTTTACTGGATTCCTATTGAATTCATATTAGAAACCTCTAAATTTTGTGATACTTATTTTTAAAACAAATTCTTTCCCACATTCATTTCCTCACCTGGTTTTCTCACTTCACTAAAGATAAACATTTTTAAAAGATGAAATGTACATTCACTGATTTACTAACTTTTTTGGGGGGAAGATGGTGTCTCAGTCTCTTGCCCAGGCTGGAGTGCAGTGGTATGATCTCGGCTCACTGTAACCTCCATCTCGGGTTCAAGCGATTCTCGTGCCTCAGCCTCCCAAGCAGCTGTGACTACCGGCACCCGCCACCATGCCCAGCTCATTTTTGTATTTTTAGTAGAGATGGGGTTTCACCATATTGGCCAGGCTGGTCTCAAACTCCTGACCAGCCTGTCATGAGATCCACCCACCTTGGCCTCCCACAGTGCTGAGATTACAAGTGTGAGCCACCGTGCCGAGCCGATTTACTGACTTTTAAAAATCTCCATGGATATGGAGTAGCCATACAATACTACTCAAACTCAGACCCTGTTAATTAAAAGGAGACATTTTTAATAATATGGAGGGACAATAGACATAAACCAGGTTTGTCCTGAGTAAACCAGAGCCTATATGTGACAAGTCAGGATGCTTAAAACTTCCTAATTATACAAAGCTTTCACAAGAAAGAAGGGCTTCCCATAGAGAGAAATTAAATATTGAATGTAAGAGAATTATACTAAGGCTTAGTTGATTTAGGGCCCAGGATCATTAAAAACTCCTTTCAGAAATCATTGAAAAGACCTTTTTCTAATACCCACCACTCTGACATTGTTTCGAGAAGCCTTAACATGCAGTCAGACATCAGATGTTTTAAAATAGGAGGAACCCACCATCCAGCAGTGGGACCTCCCCGCAGACTGGTCCTCAGGGCCATGTCCCTCTAAACATGAACAACATTCTCATTCCAAGCCTGAATTCGGAGTCGCCCCCAACCACATAAGAAGTCACCTAAGAAGAACGGATGAGCAGGACTTTGTCCCCTTCCGGGATTTAAGTGCTGTGTATCAGTAAGCAGGATGTAGGGAGCAGAGGGTGCCTCCATTTCGAGACTGCTTTGACTGCAGTGTGTTTACTGCTGAGATTAATTGTGCTCTCCTGGACCAAATAGGCAAAGCCTGAATCACAGCGTAAACCTTTGGAGGTTGATCAAAGATGGCCTTCCCCTAGTCACCATATGTCGTCATTCACATACTGACATGGCTCCACTGTGTACAGAGGCCGATGTGGGGCAGTCTGCTCCACCACAGTGTCACTGTGATTTGCTCCCTGCTTCTGGCCACATCTAAGCGTGGTCTGGGCTGGCTTGGGGGTCACTGAGTTTAGCATTTCATTCCAGGCCGACGCAGAGGAACTTAGCTTGCGAGCTCAGAGACAGAGAGGTCAATGTGAAATAGGACATAGGACAGAGGACTAGCGCTATTGAATCAAGAAGCTCCAAGACAGGGTTGTCCACTGATTCCCGATCACACCTCAGTCCTCACTTCTCTATTGCGACAGCCCAACATCGTTGAGATCCCCAGGAAAGAAAACAAATTCACTTGATCCTTGCTGAGGCTTCAACATTTCTTTTTTTTGAGACGGAGTTTCGCTCTTGTTACCCAGGCTGGAGTGCAATGGAGCGATCTCGGCTCACCGCAACCTCTGCCTCCTGGATTCAGGCAATTCTCCTGCCTCAGCCTCCTGAGTAGCTGGGATTACAGGCACACGCCACCACGCCCAGCTAATTTTTGTATTTTTAGTAGACACGGGGTTTCACCATGTTGACCAGGATGGTCTCCATCTCTTGGCCGAGATCGCGCCATTGCACTCCAGCCTGGGTAACAAGAGCGAAAC